TGACTGAAATTTTCCTCCTCTGGATTCTAGGACAGTCTAGAACAGCACTGTGCAAAGGAACTTTCGTGATGATGGAAGCATTGTGTCTGCATTGTGCAATATGGTGGTCCTGAGCACTTCACAGGTATTTAGAGTGACAGAGGATTTAATCCCTAATTTTATTTTAATTAATTTAAAGGTAAATCGGCTCATGTGGCTAGGGCTACCCTACTTTTGCTTTCTAGCAAGTAGAATAGAGACAGATCCCTTAAGCCAGCCCCAGGCTGAGTGAGTTTGAAGATGGGTTTTGGTCTTTTTGTGGGCAGGTCTACTCCCAGTTGACCCTTACTTTTTTTTTTTTTTTTTTGAAACGGAGTCTCACTCTATTGCCCAGACTGGAATACAGTGGTGAGACCTCTGTTCACTGCAAGCTCCGCCCCCTGGGTTCACGCCATTCTCTGGCCTGAGCCTCCTGAGTAGCTGGGACTATAGGTGCCTGCCACCATGCCCGGATACTTTTTTGTATTTTTAGTAGAGACTGGGTTTCACCATGTCAGCCAGGATGGTCTCAATCTCCTGACCTCGTGATCCACCCACCTCGGCCTCCCAAAGTGCTGGGATTACAGGTGTGAGCCACCGCGCCTGGCCAACCCTTACTTTTAATCTGTAACCCTTCTTGAGTCCTAACAGAAGGTTTGGGGTGTTTACTGGGCCTCTCCTTATCAGACCTGGAACATCACATTTAGTTTACCCGTTCCATCAGACTCCTAAGAGGAGAGTTTAGGTATGTTGGGCTCACCTCAGTGATCTTCCTTTCCTTCCAGGGTTTTGGTCCCTCAAGTCCTGTCTACCTTGGTAGCACCAGGCTCTAGGATCTATTTGTATTTATTTAATTTTATTAATTTTTTTTCTGTAGAGACAGGGTCTCTGTATGTTGCCCCCGCTGGCCTCAAACTCCTGGGCTCAAGTGATCCTCTCATGTTGGCCCCCCTAAAGTGCTGGGATTATAGGCATAAACCACTGCACCTGGCCACCATGATTTCTTTCTCCAGCCCCAGCCATAACACTACTGAAAGCTCAACTCAGGTTCCCATCCTCTTAAGCCTCTGCTTTCTGCTTGCTTCCTTAGCCTTTTGGCCCCTCCAGGAGAATGAGCTTCCCTTTTCTCTTGGATCCTGGCCAACTTGGTGGCTCTCCAATGTCTTCAGATTGTTTTGTGTGTGTGTGTGCGCGCGCGTGCGTGTGTGTCCTGTTTTTCCAGTTGGTCTCAGTCTCAGTGTGGAAGTGTTATTCTGACGTTAGCTACTCTATCATGGCTAGAAACCTCGCTTGCTTTATTTGATCTCTGCCCCCAAAGTCACCTTCTCAAAGAGGTCCTGGCCTTTCAAACTAAAATAACAACTAAAATAACACAGAGATTTTTTGGAACTCTGACTGAAATTTTCCTCCTCTGGATTCTAGGACAGTCTAGAACAGCACTGTGCAAAGGAACTTTCGTGATGATGGA